TACCAGCCGTGTTATACGGAAACCATTTTTAAACCGACGGTTCACATATGTTGTTTCGTGCGTTCCAAAGTCTTCAAACTTAGTGCGATCGTGATCAATTCAAAAAAACCGAACAATCTGCGTTTTGTTTTTTTCTTTTTTTTTATCGCGCTTTTACACCGCAGCTGCGCTTTAAAGCGGTTTCCCTAGTATTATTAGGCGTCTGTATAATAATAATATCGCCTAATAACACGCGCTCGTGCACACACATACGCATATAATAATATACAGTAACGCCTGGGTGCTCGTTATCAAAGTGTATCGAGTACGGGATGGAATGAGAAATGAAAAAACAGAAGAAAAAAAACAACATCAACTAACCATGGCGCAGCGTCATAACCGTGACTACAACTCGGCGCAGTCTATATAGTGCAGACGCGCAAGCCGTACATGATGAAATAACATCGAGTGACCCTCGGTCTACCGACGCTGCTGCACAAAATGGGGTGAATGCGAGACGATAACAGAGGCTGTTTTGATTTCAGTCTCGCACGAGGGGTGGAAACGAAACGCACTGACAAATTAAACGAAACACATGCACACACACAAACTCGCTGTACAATGACTCCGACATACGCGCGCGCAACGTGTAATCGACACACATTTTTTATTTCCAAACCGAAAAATAATGCGTGTGTCACAAATCCATTTGTACACGTATCGCCAAAACACGTTTTAGAAACAAAAAACAATAATAATCAATAAAGAACTTAAAAATAAAATCTTCGGTCAAGAACTCGAAAAACCTTTTACGCCAGGACAAACGTTAACCATGGAATGAACATATAAAACTTGGGTCCTTGTTTATTTTTAATAGTAATCGATTTTATTTGAAGATGTATGCTTATAACAAGCGTCGATACGAAATACGTTATTGGTACAGTTCATATATTTATTATAAGTTACACAAACTACGATGTACCAAGTATATGTATGTACGTAATATGATCTAAAAATGTGTGGACTTTATATTGTACAATAAGATAAATATATTGTGCATCATAATGGTCAGTGTTCTTATTTAATTCTAGTTTTGCCATTGACACGGTTTTTATGCATTTTTGTGAAATGCACCGCAACCTTTTATTCCACGAGGGTTCAATATATTGTGGTATTGATATTTACACCGCTTATGTACGTCGACGGGTTTTATGAATCGATGATATTCGCAAAAAATAGGGTGCAATTTTATAATTTTTTTTTAGATCAGTTACTATATATGTATATACAGAATCCTTTACTACAGCACATAATAAACGAATAAAAGTTACTGTGAAGAGTTTGTTGTTATTTTGCACACTTGACAGGAAATACGACTGTAGTGGAAAATTGAGAGGCGACTTCAGCCAGTTACTGCAGTCACCAACGAATCAAGCCAATGAAATCCATGAGAAATATAAAATACGCGTTATCTTACATATTATTAACATAGAATCCACGGTGCATGCGACATTTTGACGTTCGAATGAGTCTCTGGAATATTGTGTGATATGCACAAAAACTCGTAAACGCCTGCATATCCCTTTCGGCTAACTACTTTCCTGACGAAGTACCTCCAATGGGAGGTCTCTTCACTCCGTCATTCCTGTTTTGTTTTTATTATTATATCAAATAAGCTTATTGTTCCAATTTGTAACAGATTGCTAAATAAAGAATTAAGTTAAAAAAAAAAAAAAATATCCCTTTCGGAATTTCGTCGTTTTGGGATTTTACCTCGGTAGTTTTTTCGGTTATTAGCATAACCGTAAAAAGTTTAATTTAAAATTAAGTTCAAATGAAATTATATATTTTAAGTCGCAAAACGTTAAAATTATTTCTTAACAACACTATCCTATACTCGTATAATATGTCAACTCATATAGTCGAATTTAAAAAATACATGCGTATAATAAGATAAACAATAAAATATTTTACGATTCAAATGAATCTCCTGAAGCTATTTGTGTCAACCATCAGAGACGTCTTTTGGATACAATTATGTCATCTTTACGCACCCTAATGCGCTCAAACACCTCGTACACACGTTGGGAAATTACACGCGCGCGCGCGCGTACACAATATGTGTCCGACAAGCAGATGTGCGAAATCTTTCAGAAAATTACAAATATAACAATAAGCAAACACACGGTAATAAATCCGTATGACAAATACGTTTATAATTCACGGCGGTGGCAGTATCAGTATGGTACCCGATGCGGTAGGATATTATACACGACAAAGGAACGGATACCGTGCGGTAGTAACCGTGACTAATAATATTCCGACCTGGGCCCAACGGTGGTAACAAGACCATACGTATTTATTTATTTCAATGAAAAGGTGTCAGAAAAAAAAAACTCGTATACGGATCAAATCCCTTGGAATTCTCGGGCGCGCATATACACACAATCAGGTGTACATAATATATTCTTATAATACGGACGCGACAGTGCACCTGGTTGTATGGGACAAAACGAGCGCGTATTATACATATTATAGCTTTTTTTCTATACCGGATTATACTACCGCTGCCGCTACCTATAAGTATAATACTTACCCCTGAATATATGTATATGTAATGTATATGTATATATATTTATACGTATAAGCGCACGAAAAGACGGTTTGTTTGCTTTTTTGTTTGGAAACCAATTGCCGCGCCGAACGCGCATATAATATAACTAAACGCGTTTAGTAGGCGTATTATAATAGTAATAATCGTAAAAAGAGAAGGTGGTGGTGCGTAAAAGGCCAATTTCCGAGGTGGAAAACCAGGTGTGAATGTCTCGAAGAAAATATGCCATTCACGCGCTTCCACTGCAACGATCACCCCTCACTTTGTACACACACGAACGTACGAATACACGTACGTTTGTACACGATTTATCGTTACGGGCGTGTGTTCGTGTGAGTTTGCGAGTGTGTATCGATTTGTAAAGGAACACATACGCACCAAATGTTGCCACAGGGGTGGCTATTAGAAGAATATGTGACCATCCTCCGAAACTATAAGCGAGAATTCGACTGTACAACAAACAGCAACTGCAGCGGTGTCCGCGCGATTAACGACCAAAATAATAATAATAATAATAATACTCTGTTTAGTGCGCACTACAGTGTTATGCGTTAATGGATAATAACCGTATGGGGAACGACTTTGACGACGTGTATAAAACGTACCTACGGTATATCAGGTAAACCATGTGTGTAATACGTTCGCACCGTCGCGTACGAACGGGCACACGCGCATTTTATTATAGTCGTATATACCCATATGACGAGAAAACACCATGTTATTATAATACGGTAGAACCCCTTTAAGACGCTTTCCTAGGGACCAATTAAAAATATAGTACTAAACGGGAAACCGTATAACGCAAGAAAAACAATTTAAATCGTGACAATAAAAACACTATATTGCACAATGAATTTTAAAATTTATGTTACATATTATTTTACAATACCTGATTGAAAAAGTAATTGATTTTAATTTGTTTTACATTTCTTATGTGTTTAGAATAAAGTAAGTTCTCAATTATATTGAAATTATGTAAAGTTTCGTAAGCGTTGTCAAAATATGCAATTAATTTTCTTAGCTTATTAACATGATCAAATGCATTTGTTACCGGGAGAATCGGTAGTGTATCATCCTCTTCATCCTGTATAGAAGTTGCATAAGCTGATGATATTTTGTCAGTAACTATTTGGTAAATGCTTCTAATATTATTCATAGCGATTTCCTCGTCAATCTCTTAGGAACCTCTCCAATTCTTTATAATTTTCGCTGCTTTCGTTATCTTTATTATAAGAGAGGTATTTCTTTAAATTGTATACTTAAATATTAACGAAACACGTTTAGGTACATTACATTATTTTTGCCTGTAAATGTATAACACGTTTAGGCATACAAACACATAACACGTTTGAGTGTACCTACGCTAATTGCCAATTACGATAGGTTATCGCGAAAAAAAAAGTTTACAATCTTTATAAGATATAGTTTATGAAACTAAATATATTATATTATATATATACTATATTATACTAATGTTTCAACCTTTCAATATTAATTTCCTATTTAGATTTTCACTCGGTAAGATAAGTTTATTCGTAATTATGGACGTGAACGTTTCCGATGTTTTTGAAACCTGACGTGGGAAAAAGTGTGTTGCAATTAACAGATATAAATTTAGTGAGTTTAGAGAAAACAAAGATACAACTAAAGTTTTTCTGGCGTCAGATTATTAAGGAAAAGTATGTATGAAGCTAAGCGAAAAATATTTCCTAAAATACCAAAATCTTTATTCGAAACAAAAACTATGATTTTTCAAAATAAAAAAGATTTCGTTTCAAATAATGAACCATTTTGTTTCATGTATTCGGAAAGTAGTGTGCCTATTTTTACAAATGCTACTAACATGTCACTTTTAAACATGTCACCTGGATAACGCTAAAAGGCTCTAAAAATTTAAAATGAATGGTTAAGTATTTAAGTGTTATTTTTCTAGGTGTTTCTAAATGTTATATTAATACCTATGTTCTATGTACCCAAACGTGTTATTTTTCTAGAGATATGGTATACCCAAACGGTGTATTCATTTGTACCCAAACATGTTGCGTTTAGGGTCTACTGTACCCAAATGTGTTACTGCCTTTTATATTAACTTAATCAACAACAATAAAAGCGTCTTATCTGGGAACACAGATGTATTTTTCGAAATAAATTACTTGATAAACGTTGTCAAAATCAAGGGATTTGTAAAAATGAACGTGAAAAAAACATCTTAAACGAGAGCGTCTTAAACGGGTTCTACTCTACAGATAAATGTTTACTTAGTAATTTAATTCAACATAAAAATAATAAATTTGCCAGATTCGATACCGTATAATATTTAAAATCGATCCATCTTTATACCCCTCTATTTTTTTTTTTTTGTGCCGTTTTACTTATTTATAAATATATAAAATCTGTAAAAACTCACCTTCCAGCAATCAGATTTCTTCTCGCATTCTGTTGCTTCAACATCTCTAGGAACTAGCTGTAACATAAAAACAACAAAAATCGAGATATTAATAATATATACGTCGACTGTAATATTGTATACTTTTTAGAAAGGACAAGAGAAGAATGACTAACGTTAAATCGGGATCAAACTGTACATTCTAAACACCCATCACCGATTGGGGAATTAACTTTGCCGAGAAGCTCTGTTGGGAATTATACCACACACAACCTATGATAGGGAGGAAGATATTTCGATACCTACAAATGGACAATCAAAGGAATATATTGACATAACAGCTTTTATTCTCAAAGAGGAACCGAACCACGCCTCAATTACTTTACGAGCGAGTCACTAAGAGTTCGTACAGGGTGCGTTTCCGAGCAATAATTTCTAATTGGTCGCGAGCTCCATCGTCGAAACCATAACACTGATAATATTAACTAAGGAATATTTAAGACTGTGTTATCTCAAATATATAATTCATAATTTTAATATAGAACGTAGACGAAAAAAATACTGATGAGCTCCGATGAGTGCAATTCTATCCACGTATTACTCCTCCTAGACTTTGTGGTTATTCGAATGAATTACATTTTTTTTAAACTGCGTCCTGCGCGTAACCGTACTACGTCTATACTACAGTGATTATCTTTCAGATCGCGAGAATATTTTAGTTTACAATAATTAACCGGGATACGCGTGCACGCGTTTGTGTGCAAATGTATGTAGATGCGTGTGTACGCGATTGTATGCAATGGCAACACGTATTATAATTATAAATCCTAGAATTTCAAAGAACGCGCGAACTACCATGTATACAAGTACAATCGCATACTCATTATACAACTATTACTTTTCCTAAAGCTATTTCAACTGGTATAGACGCGGTGTAGTAACATACATACAGGTCTTGTCCCAGATTGCATACAATCAACAAAAGTAGGTAAGCATGAAAATACACATGTTGGATGATCATTTTATGAAAACAGTGTGTTTATACATTATTTTTCAATTCAAACGTGGTATATTTTACCAAAAAAATATAATATTTATCGTACCCATGGTCACAGAGAACTCCAATAAATGTAACATTATATTAATATGGAGAAGTGAAATACTTGAAAAAAATATTCTTAAATGTGATAAAGAAAAAAATATAATATTTGCATCAACTAATACTATCGTACTGTTGATCAAGAATTTCGGGGACAAGTGTAATATTAATATAGGTACGCTTGGCGTTTTGGCAAAGAGATTTGATGATAATGAGGCGTTTATCAGTAAGTAGATAATATGGTGCATCATCAAAGCGTTACGACCGGTCAAACTAATTTCGTGTGAAGGCGGAGGGTAGAAGATATTCAAATCGTCGACCGAGGGAGAGATATTTATCGAAGTCGTTTTGAACGGCAAAACTTTTGGACCACCATCGCTGGTACAATAATAGAGACAAAGCTCTAACGGCGATTTAGACGGACTTTTGTAATGACTTTCAGAATACGTAAATGCTGACAGTGCAGAGTTTTCGCCTCTGCAGTCATCTCGACCTTGAAATGAAAAACAATAGCATCACGCCCAGCTTAATTGGAATTTGTCACTATATACCACGCATTAGATCCCCTCTTTTAACTTGTTGTCCTGATAATTATATTCAATTTTTAAATAAAATTTATATATGTATGTATGCATATGCAGTTTTACTTTTGAAATTCAATAATGTAAGACTTAAATTCAAGCTGTTATGCAATAGTTTAGGTTGCTAGAAAAAAAATTAAATTATATATTTTTTTAAATATTAAATAATGTTACTTATATTTATTTATTTTATTTTTTTTTGAGCTATTATTCAGTACAAAAGGACAGATAAAACGTTATAACCTTTCATGAATGAATGTTCATGCTATAGAATTTAACTCAAAACTCACTTGCCAACCATTCGAGACCAATCTTAATGAACGTGATATTTTCTTTATTATAATAAAATTAAGTTACATTTATAAAATTAAAATTTAACACTCTCTCAAATATTTCATTTTAAATATATTATAAAATATATAATATACAGATACTATAGATTTATAAATTACGAAAGAAAATAATTTATTTTCAATTTTGGTGTTACTAATCGTCAGTTGGAAGAAATGAAATGGGAATCGATGTGTTCTAAAATATTATTGCTACAATAATTTACACATACGATCCGTTCTCATTAGGACGATTCGATTCGCCGAATAATGCTCAAAAAAAGAACTAATTAGCATGTCGTTCCATACAGTAGTTATATTTATTTTATTTTTTCATACCTCCCCAAGTTGTTTTTAATTGGAATATAAATCAAATGGAAGCGCATCGGACATCGGAAACCACGGCAAGGCAATAAAAATGCAAAACCCTCCCTAAAAAGTCACCCCCTCGGGAAATCCACGAATCCAGCAATTTTGCCGTTGTTTTCCCTTCACAATTCGGATAAATAAAAAAAAGAAGTAATAATGGTAATTTTTTATTTTCAACCAAATTACACCCATAATTTATAAAGCATTTTTAATTATACGAATTTAGTGACACGGCTTTTTTTGTTTGTTTGTACCTACGTTCTCACCACTATTTTTCTCCGATAACAACAACTCTTTATATAAAAAAAAAAACCGTTTCCTAATTAAAAATCATCTTAAGGCTCACACTGACGATTTTCATTGGTAAAACATAACTTGATAGTATGCAAGAACTTTTTCAAATACGTAGATTTTATTATACGTAGCAACATACGTAGATTTAAACATACACGATGTCTTAATTATATTGGAGAAAGAATGAATATTATAATAATATTCGAGTTTACCAACGAATTTATAACACAACAGTACACTTCAAACCGATAACATCACATTCATGGTGCACAATATACAAACACACACATACACATATATATAACGAAGTACAATAATAATAACAACGCGGTGATACAAGGACATCGAGCGGGGTCGGGAAATGGTTCGTAATAAAGGGATGAAATTAACTCGACGGCGACGGCGTAGATTCGTTAATGTTTTGTTTTTCAAACCTCTTCCCGCCAATCATCGCGGTCTTGATGGGACGGGGCGTAGGGGACACGAAAACTTTATAATAACATTCCAAAGGCCATTACGAAAGTTTCGCGAGGCACCACCGCCGGAAGAGCTTTGTTCTCCTCATATTACACGGGGCATAGCTTTCTCTTTTGTGCGAGAAGATAGTGTACTAGTTATAGGTTTTTCCCGTTTTACCTGATAAATTAAACGGTAAAAAAAGGAAACGAATTTACGGCATAATTACAGAACTATATGTGTCAAAAATAATAATGAAGATTTTCCATTGATTATAGTAACGAAAAGAAAAATACTTGGTTGTAAGATAACATCGAGTTTAAAAAAATCTTTCGAGATTAGTATAGATGTGTCACGATTTGCATACGTCGTTATGCATGAATCCCGAAAAAAATGTCACATAGCTAAATGGTGTAAAACTTGGTAAATTTTGTTATCTATACCAAAAGAAGAAAATGTAAAATAAAGCAAAAAATTCAGGACAAATGATGATGATAAACGATGACAGCGAGTGTTTAAATTGAAAAGCAAAACGTTCTATATAAAAAAAAAAAAAACATAGTGTACGAGATAATATATAAAATATTTACTTATTTCCTCGTCACATTCAGTATATTATATGCCAAACGATAGTTCGGCATTTCCATTACAATGTTAATATTCTAGCCAATTATCATAAAAAAACACACGTGTTTATATTTAACTGTTAAGCTACGAATATACATCAGCTCGTAATACATCAAAATGTTTCATTAAAATTAGTTTTTTTTTAAATCTATTTCAAAATCATATATAAATAATATATTTTAATATATATATATATATATATATATATATATATATATACTTCATGCGATGTGTATGGATGTAATAAATTCGAAGATTTATTTGGAAAAAACATGCTGAACACTAGAGTTTCCGGCCATGTGTGCTGCTACGAGTCGAATCGAATTAAGGACACATAATAATAAAACATACCCGTAAAACCACATATTCAAAAATAATGAAATTATTATAAGATGATTTACGCTCGTATATGCAAGTGCCATTATTAAGTTTACACGATTTCCAAATACAAACGGATCCTCTCAGTTTGCAGCTGCTAATTATACAATATTCGCTTTTGTTCGATACGCAATGAGTTCAATAGTTATGTTATATTTATATATGAATATATTGTATAAATCTACACACGACTCGGTTTATTAACGTAATAATAAATGATTAAATGCATACAGAAGATAATAAACGCATCTTTTGGGATGAAAAAAAGAAGGATATGATAATATTTTAATATTATTAATATAATTTCGAAGTCGACGATGCGTGTAAAACTGGCCATCTGTAGACTTGCAAAAATGTGCGCACGTGAAAAAAAACCCCAGCCACGCAATAACTATAATACATACATATATAATACGTATATCTGTCCCCGGGGTGATATCCTATGAAAGAAAACAATATCGTGATAAGTTCACCCCTGGTCGGTATATATAGATATATACGCAGTGATTATATTGCGTGTATAAGGGAAGCTGTTATACTGCGCGTACCACGCAAATGGCGATCGGTGCATGTGTATTGTACAGTCCATATAGATCGTACCGGTCATAAATATTTCGGTTTTATTGTAAACGAAAAAATAAAACTAAATCGAGGGAAAAAGGTTATGTATGTAGTTTTTGAGAGGCAAATAAATTGTCAGTATTTCTACGGAATGGACCCCGATCGCTCGCGCAAGAATCATATATATGTAGCTAGTAAAACTCACACCACGCCGCGCTATTACAGCATCAACCCTCATCACAACACGCGCAATAGATGGCAACCACTGCGGGCGGTGAATCAAATTAAACGAGCGCGCGAAATTTTCTTCTCAAACAACGTACGACAAACGTTAGACTTTCTAATCAATCAACTGTGTGTGCGTGTGTATGTGTGTATAAGTAT